TTTTCTTTTTTTTTTTTTAATCTCTCCTTTATTTTATTTTTTATTTTTTCATTTTCTTTTATTTCATATGTGCATACAAGGCTTGGTTATTTCTCCCCCCTGCCCCACCCCCTCCCTTACCACCCACTCCACCCCCTCCCGCTCCCCCCTCAATACCCAGCAGAAACTATTTTGCCCTTATCTCTAATTTGTTGTAGAGAGAGTATAAGCAATAATAGGAAGGAACAAAGGGTTTTGCTGGTTGAGATAAGGATAGCTATACAGGGCATTGACTCACATTGATTTCCTGTGCGTGGGTGTTACCTTCTAGGTTAATTCTTTTTGATCTAACCTTTTCTCTAGTTCCTGGTCCCTTTTCCTATTGCCTCAGTTGCTTTAAGGTATCTGCTTTAGTTTCTCTGCATTAAGGCAACAAATGCTAGCTAGTTTTTTAGGTGTCTTACCTATCCTCACCCCTCCCTTGTGTGCTCTCGCTTTTATCATGTGCTCATAGTCCAATCCCCTTGTTGTGTTGCCCTTGATCTAATGTCCACATATGAGGGAGAACATACGATTTTTGGTCTTTTGGCCAGGCTAACCTCACTCAGAATGTTCTCCAATTCCATCCATTTACCAGCGAATGATAACATTTCGTTCTTCTTCATGGCTGCATAAAATTCCATTGTGTATAGATACCACATTTTCTTAATCCATTCATCAGTGCTGGGCATCTTGGCTGTTTCCATAACTTGGCTATGTGAATAGTGCCGCAATAAACATGGATGTGCAGGTGCCTCTGGAGTAACAGTCTTTTGGGTATATCCCCAAGAGTGGTATTGCTGGATCAAATGGTAGATCGATGTCCAGCTTTTAAGTAGCCTCCAAATTTTTTCCAGAGTGGTTGTACAGTCTACATTCCACCAACAGTGTAAGAGGGTTCCTTTTTCCCCGCATCCTCGCCAAACACTGTTGTTGGTGGTGTTGCTGATGATGGCTATTCTAACAGGGTGAGGGTGGAATCTTAGTGTGGTTTTAATTTGCATTTCCTTTATTGCTAGAGATGGTGAGCATTTTTCATGTGTTTTCTGGCCATTTGAATTTCTTCTTTTGAGAAAGTTCTGTTTAGTTCACACTGCCCATTTCTTTATGGTTCATAGTTTTGGGAGAATTATTTTTTTAAGTTCCCTGTATATTCTGTTATCAGTCCTTTGTCTGATGTATAGTTGGCAAATATTTTCTCCCACTCTGTGGGTGTTCTCTTCAGTTTAGAGACCATTTCTTTTGATGAACAGAAGTTTTAGTTTATAGGTCCCATTTATCTATGCTATCTCTTAGTTGCTGTGCTGCTGGGGTTCATTGAGAAAGTTCTCCTATACCTACTAACTCCAGAGTATTTCCTACTCTTCTTGTATCAACTTAGAGTTTGGGGTCTGATATTCAGATCCTTGATCCATTTGAGTTAATCTTGGTATAGGGTGATATACATGGATCTAGTTTCAGTTTTTTTTGCAGACTTGATAACCCAGTTTTCCCAGCAGTTTTGTGAAGGGGCTGCTATTTCTCAGTATTTTTAGGCTCCCTTTGTCAAAGATAAGTGCTTTTATATTGTGTGGCTTCATATCTGGATACCTCTATTCTGTCCACTGGTCTTCATTCTTGGTTTTTGTGCCCAGTACCATGCTGTTTTTATTATTATTGCTTTGTAATATCAGTTTGAAGTACGTATTGTGATAAACCTCCTGCATTGTCTTTTGACTGAGTATTGCTTGGCTATTCGTGGCCTCTTGTGTTTCCATATAAATTTAACAGTAGATTTCATATCTCTCTTGATGAATGTCATTGGAATTTTGATGGGAATGCATTAAACATTTAGATTACTTTTGGGAGTATGACATTTTTACTATTTGATTCTACCAATCCATGAGCATCGGAGATCTCTCCACTTTCTATAGTCTTTCTCAATCTCTTTCTAGAAGTGTATAGTTTTCTGTAGAGGTCTTTCACATCTTTTGTTAGGTTCTTGAATCTTAAATAAGATCCCTTTGCAAATTTGGAAGGTTTTTGGCTGTTCCTTTTTTTTTTTTTTGAGTAACCCTTTTTAACCCTTTCCAGTTTTTTCCTCCCCTTTGGAACTCTGATGACACGAATGTTAGATTTTTTTATATTAATTCTCCCAAAATCCTGATACCCTGTCATTTTTTTCTTCTTTTCAGTCTGTTTTTCCTCTATATTCGACGCTGAGTAATTTCTATTCTTTTTCAGCTCACTGATTTTTTTTTTCCTTTGTCCCCTGCATCAGTGATCGAGTGAGACCATTCATTGTGTCTTATTCTGGTTAATTGTTTTCAGTTCTAAATTTCCTTATGGTTTTTCCTATTCTTTATTTTCTTCACTGAAACTTTCTACTTTTTCATTTATTTTCAAGTTTTTTTTTTTTTTTGCGGTACCGAGTTTGAACTCGAGGCCCTTTGCTTGCTAGCAGCTCCTCTACTGCTTGAAACCCTGCCTCAGCCTTTCTGCTTGGTATTTTGAGATGGATCCTCTTTTTGTCCAGGCTGCCTGGACCATGATCCTCCTATTTTATCTTCCTGCCATAGCTGGATGACAAGCGTGTTTATTAGATGTAGTCCCTGAACATAGACACTTGTCTAAAATCCTCTAGCATCTAGAATAGTCTCATTGTATAGTAGGTTTTCAGTATGTTTTATTGAATTAATGAATGAATCTGGTTATTACCTGGATCACTTTATTGAACTCAGTTTTGGAATTTTCTTGGTTATAGTGATGAACAAGTTATGTGCATTTACATTGACCAGACTCTGTAGAAGTAGTGCTTGTGTTCTCAGGAATTCAAGGCTCTTTTTTTGTGGGGATGGCAGATTGAACCTAGGGACTCATGCATGCTAGGCAAGTATTCTGCCACGAAGCCATAACCCCCTTAAACATGTTATTTTGTAGTATAAAAGCTATTCAATATAACTTCTATTATTTTTATTTTTAAATTGATATTTCTTAATTTATAGCTGTTTAAGAAGTGTTTGTTGAATGAATGAGAATTATATTGGATTATATTCCACTGTCTTTGTAATGATAAATTTTAATATTTGTATTTAGTCTGTGGAATAGATACAGTATAATTTATCTGATTGTATCTCTAATGAGTTTTTAAAAGATTTTACTAAGTGAATAGTACTGCAATTGACATTTTCATGACTGGAGGCCCCTCGCCCTCCTGTACTGGTAGGTGAGGCTAGGGATGTGAGAATGTGTGTGGTTCTTGATGCATTACTGCTTTTCAGAGGGTCGTACCAGTTTGTAATGCAGTTTATTGATGACAGATGAGAATGGTTTCATTTTTGCAAGTTTTTGGATCCTATCTGTGACTTCTGTTTTCTTATTTTGGGTTTCTTTCAGATTCTTGTCTTCTATTTTTTGCGATGTCTTCTGGCTTTTGTGAGCTGTATTTGTGAACTTTACTTTTATAAGTGAGTATAAAAACTTTGCTTTTAAAAGTGCTAGGAGGACTATACCTAAATATATCATAAATCATATCTCTGATAATCTAGGCACTGATCAGAAGTAGAAAACCCTTTCCTTCTAGCTCCTGAAATGTGACTTCTTATTTGAAAAATAGTCAAGGAGAAATACCTGCAATTACTGTTTTCTTTCCTGAGGCTCATAAATACCATATCATATCATCAGTTTTAATTCTGTCGTGCATGTCTAGCTGGCCTTTATTTACTAGGATTAGTAGAATCTCATTTTTTGGTCCTAGGATACAGGATAATAATTTACCTCTCCCTGTAGCTTAGCAGATGGGAAACTGTTCCCAAAGTGAGACTCTTCCTCTGCTTTGCACCAATACATTGCCTTACACAAAGTAACCACCAGGTGATTGAATATTAGTGGAATTATTATGCATTTAAGTGTTCCAGTAATAAAAATAGCCACCTTTTTACATCTTATTTTAATAGTGCCTTCATGTATTAAGGTACTTGGACTTAATGATCATTATTAAAAATCTTCCCATAGCTAAATATGTCAGATTAAAAAAAAAAAAAGACTTTGGCTTTGACTCTGATTGGAGCAGAGGAAAAAAACAAAGTCTGAGGACTGTAATGATAAGTTGGTCTTCATATAGGTTTGTACCTGAATTCAAATCATCTACCTGGTCCGTTAAACCCCAAGTTGAGGTTTTATTTTAAATTGTTCTGGGTAAGCAGTGCCCCAGGCATCTTGTGAAAATTTCCATAGAGAACTGGAGCCTTAATCCAGATGTCAAAAAAATACCAGAAATCAATTTCTAGTGGGCATGAAATTTTAACAAAAATAAATCACAAAGCAGAGAAATGACAAAAGAGGGTGAAAGATATTGTGAGTGAAAGTCATCAGAAATAATCAATAGAAAGGTAACCTGTAAAACTTCCTTTAGGAGGTGTTACTAAATTAAGAATATAGAATAAGTATATTTAACATTTTTAAATAAGTAAAAGAGGAAATTGAAAACATAACCAGACAAAAGAATTGAAAAAGAAGCATAACTTCTAGAAATGAACATATAATATTTATATTATTGACTATAGAATATATAATATCAATAATATTCACATATTATTATTTAAAATTCAAAAAATCAGAAGATAGTTTAAATACAAGATTAGATACTGCTAGTAAGTAAAGTAGTAAAATGGAAGATTTATTTGAAGAAATTACTACAAATGCAGTAAAAAGACCAATAAAAATAAAAGAAAACATAGGTTCAGTAAGTCTAGTATATCCCGAACTGGAGCTGGATTCATAAGAAAAAAATTAATGAAAGTGTGTAAAACTCTAGGGACAAAGAATAAGTTGACAGAACTAATGGAATACCTTCAAAGGAATGCTAGCTACTTACACTGACAGAAGATTTCCCAACAGCCAGAAAAAAATAACAAATAAATAAAACCTTCAAAGTGCTGAGAGGCCTGGAGATGTAGCTCAGTAGTATAGTACTTGACTAGATGCCCAAGGCCCTGGGTTTGATCCCTAGCACTGCATAAACAAAACAAAACAAAACTCAAGTGCTCAGAGAAAATGACTGTTATCCTAAGATTGCACAGTTAAACTATCTTTTAAGATCAAGAGCTAAATACTTTATAGTAAAGAAAAATAAGTAAATAAGCAAATAGATAAATAAAAAGAAGGAAGAAAGAAGCCAACCAAAAAACTAGAGAAATTACCATGAATGTATTCTCACTAAAGGAACTTCTAGAAGATACACTTAGGAAGAAGCAAAATTATTTCAAAAGGAATCTGAGCAAAAAAGAAAATGATTAACACATTAAGTATGTCTGAACAAATAAGACTAAAAGTAGTGGATTAAAAGGAAACCTAAAAGAAAGAAGTAGAAGAAAGTGTATAGTTGCCTAAATTTGAGAAACACCTGTTGAGGTAAAGCATGTAACATTTTTATTTATCTCCTAGTCGTCTTTTTTTTTTTTTTTTTTCCTGACACCTATCATTTACTGAGTAACTTTGTGCCACATCCTCTTCTAAGCACTTGTCCGTGCATTATCCTCAGGAAGTTTCTAAAGTAGTTATAATTATTATCTTCATGTTACAGGTGAGGAATCTGATAGATTATGCAACTAGGCCAGAGTCCCAGTGCTCGTAAGTGGCAGAGCCAGAGTTTGAACTTGTACCCATCTGAATCTGAAGCCTATTATTTTTCATTACATCATGTGATTTTCCTATTGATAGAAGACTTACTTGTAGTCAGCTCTTCTCCTGTGTCAGGAATAAGAATGTCTGGGTTTCTTATGCATATGAAATTGCTAACAAACCTGTCAAGACTGTTCTGTGTTTGACTTCAGATCTTTAGTGTTATTTTTGATGCAGGCATGTTTTTCTTCTATGCCTTGAAATGTTCTTTCTTTAATATCTGGTATACTAATAGTCTTTGTCTTTCTTCTAGGGCTGTGTGCAAGAAATTTGGGCTGCATGTGAGTCGAATGATGCTGGCTTTCTTGGTGCTTAGCGCCGGCATGTTTTGTTCATCTTCCGGTAAGGAGACAGCAGGTTCAGCTGGGTCACGGTTGTCCAGACATTGATTCTATTTGAGCAATGCGTTGATGCTCGGCAGCGCACTGTTATCTACATTTTCTTTATTGGCCTTTATAATAATCTTGTGGTATAAATAAGATATTTTCTCATTTTAGCAGATTAGGACACTGAGATTTAGAAAGGTGAAATAACTTAGTAAAAATCAAAATTTGTAAGTAGTGGAACTGAGTGTCTCACCAGGGTACTTTCTATTACCTTCTTGTATCAACTACCCGCTTCCTTTCTTGGTCCTTAGGGAAATGAAAATAATTTTATATGAGGAAGTTCTTTGTACCTAAAATCTCTATTCTTGGTGGTTCTCTTTTTTGCCCATTATTTGAGATGTATTTTATAGATGTGTGCATCTTCTGGGCATTTTTTTTTTTTTTTACAATAAGCTTCTGGAACTTTATAATAAAATCTTTATCTAGAATTGGTGGCTTTTAACTGTGCTGCCATTGAATATTTGTGTTCCATAGCTGAACTAAAGTGACATGCTTAAAAAGATAGTTCTCAGATCTCCAGAAAAGTTTCCTTACAATTATCTCAACTTTAGTTTTTGCTTGTGTCTACACTAAATATATACAAAAGCAGTATCTTGCATAAATTTTATGGTTTACCTTTTCTTCATTGAATATATCAAAATTAATGTTGTTCTGCAGAGACCTCTGGGCTCCCCCTGGAGTAACTTTGAGGTCTGTTATCCTAAATGTGTCTCTGCTTTACTGTCAGAGCCAGCGGAGACTTCTAATACCTCTGCTCTTTTGTCCTCTACGTTGGCAGCTAGAATTGACAGCTTTGGATGGCATCAAGATTATGTAGCATTTGTCTATGAAAACATTTTTTTTCAGTTACTTTGCTACTTCAAAAATTGATTTTTAGGTATAGGAGATTCGTGGGAGTCTCTTTAGTTTTATAATGTCAGTTGAGGCACAGAGAAGTTGAAGGTACCCTTTGATAGAGAGCCTCTGAACCCTTTTCTGACTTTCTTAAATTTTCACTGCCTATTCATTGTAGTTCTTGTTGGAGTCAACTGCTTTTTGTTCTCTAGTGGTAGAGGAATCAGGCCTTATGAAGTATGAGAGGAAGATCTACATTTTTGTTTAGAGTTGTTAGAAGTACTTTGTTGTAGAGGTCTTGAATGTGCTTGGTCTTCTGCTGTATAGGACAATGTTGTGATAGATATGGATAACAAGGGGCTGTGGAAAGGCCAGATTATCTGTGTCAGTGGATGCAGGATGCAGAGCAGTATTGCCATCCTCCATTTGGCCCTTGAGAAGTCTTCCTAGAATTCCTGTAGGGCACATGTTAGGACTGGGACAGTCTCAGAAGACCATCTGAAGATAAGCTTCAGAAATAAATTGTCAGCAATGCTCTTTAGTCTTTTGAGCATATTCCCTGCCTGGAAATATAACCTAAGGGTATCCTGGGGAGACTGGAATTTTGAAATTTTTGGATTTGAGATATAAGCCAGGAGAGGAATGGCATAGATAATATTAAATACCTGGGGGCCATGTATTGGTACCTAAAAACAAACAGTGGACAAATAAGAAAACCATTGCACTTCATTTTTTTTTTTTTTTTTTTCCTTAATGGAGTATCCCTTTTCTGCATAGGTTATGTTTCTGGTTACTGACATTTTGCAATGTAGCTAACTTTTTAATAATTGGTACCTGATGTCAGGTCTTTTCTTTTCATTTCTTCACTTCTGCAGCTTTCCTTCCCAGTAGCTTCTGTATGTACACTACGTTGATAGCCATGACTGGATGGTATATGGACAAGACTCCCATTGCTGTGCTGGGAGTAGCAGCTGGGGCTATTGTAGGCTGGCCATTCAGTGCGGCACTTGGGTAAGAAACTAATATAGTTCTCCCATGTATCACTTGGGCATGTGGTAAATCTTAATGTTGAATTAGCTCCATGTTGTCTAGGTGTACCTAAAGTTATAGGAATAAGTTTGACTGATAAAAATTCTGGGAAATAAAGCATATATCTCTTAATGTTTATTAATATGATTATTTCTAATGTAAATAGTGACTATCTGCCGTGTGTTAGGCACTGCTAAACCGTTTATAAACTGTTTCTTAAACCTTACAACAACTCTAAGAGAATTATAATTATGAATGCTTTAAGTAGACTTCAAGAGTTCAAGTCATTTGCTTTTAAGATCATGCTTGCTTTGAATCCAGGTCATTCTGACTGTGCAGCTGACTTTATCCACATTGAACCACTCTGTGCTGTGCATTTTCCTTGTTACCCAGGCTTGAAACCAGTTTCTTTCCGTCCTTCTCTTTGCCTCAGCATCTTTTATTCAAAGTTCAGTTGTGTCTCTAATTCCTTGTACTTCGCTCCCATTATTTCTATCCTACTTTGTGCTGCCTTAACTTCTTGACTGTGCTAGTAATTTAAAACAATTTTAGTTTGGTATTGAGGTTATTTAGATGTAGTATTTCTTTATTACCAAAAAAAAAAAAAAACAAGAGCTGGAAGGTATAGCTCAGTGGTGGTATATTTTCCTAGCATGCACATGTTCTGGGTTTAATCCTCAGCACTGCAAAAAACAAAACAAAACAAAACACCCCTCCCCTCGAAGCCAATACAATTTATGAGATAAGAAGAATTTCTAAGCAGAGTCAGCATACATAAGAGACATCTGCAAACCCATGTTTATTTGGGAACTATTCACAATGACCAAGCTGTGGAATCAGTCTAGGTGCCTGTCAATAGATGAGTGGCTAAAGAAAATGTAGTATATATACACATACACCTACATGAAATCATGTAATTTGCTTGGTTGGAATGATGAGTCTTGCATGTTTTCTCTCACATATGGAAATAGAAATAAAAAGAAAAAAAGATGACCTGAAAGTAGTAGAGGGATTACTAGGGAAGGGTAAGGAGACCAGGAAGGAGGGGAGGGAGGGAACAGTGAAAAAAGGTAGGCAGGAGGGTGGGTACAGTAAAAGCACAATATATGCATGGATGGGCTGGCAGAGGGCTCAGGTGCTGGAACACTTGTCTAATAAGCTTGAAGCCCCGAGTTCACACCCCAGTTTGGCAAAAAAAAAAAAAAATACATGTACATATATATGTATATCTATATATAGATATAGATAGATGGAAATGTCACAGTGAAACCCATTAATATGTATGGCTGATATGCATTAATAATTTGATGAAAATGTTAAAAGAATAAAAATAAAAAGCATCCCCCCCAAAAAGAATTCCTAATTCTTTTCTTTCCTTGCCCAATTTCAAAGATACTCACTTCTAATGATTTTGTATGTCTTTCCAGAAATTATGTTTATGTGTATAATGCATACTCATATATATACACACCTACATTCTTAAAATGAATAATTATTCTTTTTGTGTGCTTTAAACTGTATAATAGCTTTCCCATTGCTTTATGTCAAATAAGGGGTGGCAAACTATGGCTGGTGGGGCACATCTACCTGGCCAGTTTTTGTCCAGCTCATGAGCTATGACTGGTTTTAAGGGGTTGTTGTAAATAGCCCATATATACAGAAGAATATTTAAAATGATCCTGTGGGTCTAAAATCAATACTGTCACATCCTTTAAATAAAAAGTTTGCCAACTTTTTTTCTGTGACATCCAAATCCTAAGGTGGCTCACAAAGGCCTGAATGGTCTTGCCAGCTTTTATTTTTTCTGCCTTCTTTTGTCATTTCTTCGATTCCTTTTGTTCTTTGTTCTGCCTATATTGAACTTTATTGAGTTCCCCGATTACCTCTGGGTGGCACATTTTGATTGGTCTGCCTTTAGCTGAGATAAGTAATTTCAGGCTCACAATCAGTTAGCAATCTACCATGATTTATTGAATACTGTTGATAAAGTTAGACAGTCATGCTTCCGGCTCTTTTCCAGCTTACAATTTACTAGGAAAGACACGTTGAACAATTAAAAATATGACTTATCAAAGGACAAATACAGGTGCTATGGAAATGTAACTAACTGGGAAGATAAAAAATAAAAACACAAAAGTGCTAGTGCAAAATTTATATAATAGAATGTCTGGTAAGTCTTGGGTCAGTATTTAGGCTAATAGGGCACATTTACTTTTAATTAATGCATTTTATATGTCTGTTACACATAAATATGTGTGAGATGAAGTTTGTTCCAGCAGCTCAGTATTTGTGTTTCTTGTGCATTTGTGCCATGCAGGACTTTGATGAGTACTATGATGACATCTGTTTATTTTTGAGAAGACATTCTTTTACATACTGACTTTCTTCTCTCTTTGCTTCTGGTACAGACATTTTATTCTCAGCTCAGCATAGGTGTTTGTGGATGTGATTTATCTCTTAAGTATTTTACTTAACCTCTCTTTCTGTTTTACTATTAAATAGTTTACCCATTGCCTTTGATTTGCTGGTCATGAAACACAGATGGAAGAGTTTCTTTCATTGGTCACTCGTGGCCCTGATTCTCTTTCTGGTGAGTTTTTTTGTGTGTTTTGTTCTCATGCAATGAAAACCACTTCTGATATGGGAAAGGAAACATTAGTGGTTTTTGTTTTGTTTTGTTTTTGCGGTGGAGTGGGTTTTGAATTCAGGGACTTGTGCTTGTTAGGCAGGAACTCTACCACTTGAGCCATGCCCTCAGTCTTTTTTTGGTTTAGTTAGGGTCTTGTGTTTTTGCCCAGGACTGGCCTCAGTTTGTGACCCTACTACCTGTGGCCTTCAGCGTAACTGGATTGACAGGTGCATGCCACCAACACTTGACTTACTGATTGAGATAGGGTTTTGCTTTTTGCTTGGCTGGCCTTGAACTGCTGTCCTCCTCATTTCTGCCTTCTGAATAACTGTTCATTTGTTTTTCATTCACAGGTTTACCTGTTAGCTTTTTGATACTATTCCTAGAGCAAAACTAAACTGCTGTGTGTTTCCTGCTCTGTTTCAGGTGCCTGTAGTAGTCATCGACAGCTACTATTATGGGAAGCTGGTGATTGCACCTCTCAACATTGTTTTGTATAATGTCTTCACTGCTCATGGACCTGATCTTTATGGTAAGACTTTACAAAATTTGGAGAAGAATTAGAAAATAGCCTAATTTACCTGAGCTTCAAAATTTTGTAATTCAGATGTCTCAAATTTATAGCGTTTCTTTGCTGGTGATCTTTTCCTACTAAAGGTAGAATGATTTTGAATATGACTCAGTGATGAGATGTGGCCTCTTGAGTATTTCTCCTTGATTAATGTGATATTCAGATATTGACTTTCTCTTTCCTGCTGTTATTTCCAGTTTCAGAGTTAGAGTTTTAAGGACTGTTGGGTATGCTATAGCTTTTGATGCTATTTTTTTTTTCCTAATAAAAGTTATTTTTTTCTCTTATTAGGAAATCAACAAGATAACACAAAGAAAATAAAAAACTAATCCCATTATCTCTCCATATAGCTATTGTTAATACTTGGGAGTATATTCCTTCATTTATTTTCTACACATATACACACTTGATATTACTTTTTCTTTTTGAAACTTGTATTACTTCAATATCAGGTATTAGGGAAGAAAGTTTAGAGAATTTGTAGACAAAGGGTAGCAACTGATAACAGGGTCAGCAAGAAAGGGTGGATAGTTTGGTCAGTTTAGGATTAAGAGAAGATACTGAATGCCTTTAACCTGTGATGAATTCTCCATTGCACCCCCATCTCTATCCTCTCCTGTTGCCCTTTCATTTCACCAGTGATTGAGCCCGTTTTATTTGACCGTGGAGGACATTTTGGTTAGCTACAGTTAAAGTTACAGAAGGATGAACTAGAGCTTGTGCTAATCAGATCAGCCAAGTCAGTAAGCATGTATAAGAGAGACAGTTTTTTCATTAAAATAAGTATAGTTTCCTCTGCTTTAATCTTTTGAGGCTCCTTAGAGTAGTCTATATATGTGAATGTCTGAGCTCTGCTGTGAAGCAGGTCAACATTCCTCTCTCTTTCTCCGCCTGTTATAAATTTAAGACTTTTTGCTATCTGTGTTTATCATTTGCTTGGGCTACCTTGTCAATAAAACCCATAGATTGCATGAGGAGCTCTAGTGTAAGAATACGAGTGAGATATACTCAACCCTCTTGGGATTTTGGGAATATTGTCATCTTAGATGGTAATAGGTTAAAATAAGCAGTGTTTTATTTGGCGAATTGAATTCACAAACCACATAATTAGAAAATAATTACTAAATGAAAGAACTTTAAAAGGCTCTTTTATGGTTCCAAGATCCCCAAGGATATGAGAGAAGGATGTAATTTTAAGCTTTTGCCTCTAGATGTCTCCCTTTAGCTAGGGAAAGTTTGCATGTTTTTAATTGCCCCTTGTTTTAGTTTATTTATAAAATTTTATTTGACTTGATGAGACAATAAAACCAATAAAGCCTAGACTGCATGGTAAATACTGAGTTACATGCACTCCATTGGAAGCGTGTCCTTTCTGTATAGGTGAATTAATTGAGTTAATTTGTGTTAGTTTTGAAAAATTGGCTTCTCCATTTTCATGAATGGATTATATGTTGATATTCTGACTGCTTATTTATAAAACCTTTTGGTGAGAGAACAATAAGCCTGCCTTAGTTGCAGATTTATTACATGTGGTTTTGACCAAACATCAAAAATAAATACATATATAAATAATGAAAAGAAATTTCAAAACAAAAATTTTAAATTCCTACACATTCATTACATAGCTTCGTTGATTTAGAAAAACTCTTAGTCAGTTCTGTTGCCCTCAGTTGTGTTTAAATCATCCTGTTATCTGCTGACTATGTCCCTACCCTTGGTTTTGTGAAAACATGCCTCCCAAAAAGCAAGGTAAAAGCTATGGTAATCCTCCCAAACCAAAAAGGGTGTGTAATGTGCTTAATTTAAGTACTAAAATGAAAATTGTAGCTTTGTTGAGGGTGGCATGTCTTTAGTGGAAGTTGGGTAGCATTATGGGGAAAATGAATTAAGAATCTGCAGTACAGTGCTCACCTCTGAGAATCCTGAGCATTCAGCTCTGGTCTTCTTGGAATCATTCACCCATGCATACCAAGAATCTACTGTGTATGAAAGTGACATGCTTTCTGTTGCCCTGTAGACTGATGGAGCTTAGAAATCTAGAAATAATCCAGCAGGTAGGGAAAGGAGGGGAGAGGAAAGTAGGGGTGAAATAAATTCTGATTTCAATTTATGTTTCTAATTTAATGTTGGGTTGGTTAGGGAACCTGTGGTAGGTTTTGGCATTCAGTGGAGCAGGGTCTGGTCTATCCTTGGACATTGGCATTTGGTATCCATCTCAGCTAGTGTTTTACTGAGAAAGAGTTCTTGGGAATTCTTCCTGCTTAATTTGATGAACCTGTTTTTGTTTTTGTTTTTTTTTTTTTGTGGGACTGTGGTTTCAAACTCAGGGCTTCCTACTTGAAAAGCAGGTGCTCTATTGCTTGAGCCACACACTTCCAGTCCATTTTACTATGGTTATATTTTGGACATGGGGTCTTGTTGAACTATTTGCTCAGGTTGTTCTCAAACCACTATCCTCCCAGTCTCAGCCTCCCAAGGTGCTAGGATTACAGGAGTGAGCCACTGGTGCCCAGCTGTTGTTTGTTTTTTTAAAGAAGGCCAGCAAGATTTATTTAGCATAAGAAGACAAAGCAAGGTGCAAGGAAAGAATGGAATAGGCTAGCAGCACCTTCTAACAAACTGCCAGAAGGTGGGAGCAGAGGGCTCCAAATGAACCTGCTAGTTTGGATGCAGAGTTGGCAAAAGCTTTGTTGGGTCAGTGGGTTGGGTCAGTGGAAATTATCACTTGGACCATGAACAGGACTGATGCAGTACTGAACTCAGTTTGCCTTGTTAAAGGACTTGTTCTTTGACAGGATTTTTGTGCTTTTACCTCATCTTTGAATTTGACAAATTTTTTGGGTCTGATTTCCATTCTTTTTACCATTGTTAACTCCTTCTTGCTGTACTGAGAGACTATGTTTTCCATTTTAGAGATAGGAATTCCTTGGACATTCTGGGTTTACAGTATAAATTTGTTAATAATGAATCAATTCTGTTTTATCCATCAGATTACATTAGTGCCTTGATTGCTATTGTGTCTCAGAACTACTGAGATATGGTTAGACATGTTGTGGTGTTGACTTGGGATTTTCTTGATACTAAATAAGAATAGATATAAAATACTTTAAAAATACTTCGTCAGTCCATTCAGTAAATGTCAAAGGCCTATCTTTTATAGATGTTTAGATGGTATGAAATTGTCAAACAGTGAGACAGTATGTCTTTTATCTTGGAAACTTCAGCTCTTTTATATTACTTAAATATTTGACACTATTTTGCATTATTTTGGCTATTTTCTAAGAGTTTTCTGCTCCAGATGCCTCATTACTATGGTAGGTACACAATTTATCTGAAAATTGAAAATGCATTAGGCTGAAGTTTTTTTTTTTTCCGTATTGGGGTTTGAACTCAGGGCTTACACCTTGAGCCACTCCCCCAGCCCTTTTTTGTGTTGGGGTTTTTTTGAGATAGGGTCTCATGAACTATTTCCTCAGGCTGGCTTTGAACCGCAGTCCTCCTGATCTCTGCCTCCTGAGTAGCTAGGATTACAGGCGCGAGCCACTGGTGCCTGGCTGGGCTTATAGGTTTTGCATACATCTTTTAATTTTGTTTCTCATATGTAAGTACTTAAGCCTATACACCACACACCTTTTTAATGAATAAATAGATTTCAGTTAAAGAAACAATGAATAAATTGCCTTTGAGCAGTTGCCCTGTGTCCTCATAGAACTTTCTATCTCATAAAGCTGTATACACTCAAATAATTACAGTGTAGTATATGGTGTGCTACTGTGGGATGATAGGAAATTGTGGGAACAGGTCCCTCTGGTGGTATCAGGAAAGGTGTGGTTCTTGAGCTGAGCCTGGCAGGAAGAGTAGGAGTTTGTCTAGTAGATGCTGGGGCTAGGGGCACTACCTAAATTTTAGGTAGAAACTGTTCAGGCATGAGCAAGATTACTTTAGTCTCTCCATTATGATTGTAATCATATAAATATTTATTCTTGTATTTGTTCCTGGTTTTCAAAGGGATGTTTCTATACTTTCTTGGCTAGATTACATGTATCATTGACACATTCCAGACCTGAGCTGACTCCTTTCCTTTGAAGTAGGGGGGAAAAAAAAGGAGTACTTCTTCACAGATATTAATTGCAATACCTTCTGTTTATAATATGCCTATTATGTGCCAGAAATTTTATACATACTGTCTTTCACAAAAACTCTGTGAGATAGGCATTATTTGTCCTTATTCCCTTGTAAGGAAACTGAGGTTGAGATAGTGGGGAACCTGCCACCTTAGTTGAAAAAGTGACAGAAATGAGACGAGAGCCAAGGTTGTCTGACTCTCAAGCCTGTGTTTTTCCACTGAAAACACACTTATTAAAATAAAACTATGCAATGTGGCTATTAAGATTCTTCTGGAGAATAAGTGTGGAACAGTGCACAAGTTGAGAGTAGCAGGTCAGATCCAACCCCAGGAGTGGGTGAGAAGTTACGCTTTTGAAGGTCCATGCGTTTTGTCTGAAAGGCTGGTCAGGAGCCCTTGTAGGGCTTGATGCCAGGCTGCGTGCATGTGTTGGACCTTGTTGGGAAAGGAAGAGTGTTTGGATAAAGGAAAGAATACTTGGCACTTAGAGTATTGTAGACAAAAATTGCAAAGTCACAGGCAAAACATCTCTCTGTGGTCAAAGATCAGTAGGTAAAAGTTAACATCACAGAGAAGCAAGTGAGAGGTCTTGGCACCGATTTTGCCAGCTGTAACATTTCGAGTGCTCAAATGGCTCTGCTGAGTGAATAGTGGTGTTCTGTGGTGAGGAGAACATGGACCTGGCAAAGGTATGGGAGAAAACCTAAAGAAAACACTATTCCCTCAAAAAAGAACATTGGGTCTACTCAGAGACGCCACTTTGCCACTTAGGACGGATCTCATAGTCTGTGTGCTTTATCAACATCTTTCAGATCTCTGGACAGGAAGTTTCAGAAGGTGAAGGCAAGTGACCTTTGTTAGAAGCCCTCTGTTTTCTATTCTTGCAGTGGTAGAGGGGAAGCCCCAGTGGAGTCTTACAAGGCCTGCTAGAGTTGACTGCCAGGCAGAACTGTTCTAGAGCCTGTGCTCTTTCCTTAATAATTCTGTGGAATCTTGGCTTTTCTTTCTTGGTGATGCAAGTTTGACGTTTATAAGAATGACTTACTATTATTTGTTCCTATAGCTGTATAAAATTACAGGCCTGTAAAAAAGTTCCTCTACATTCAATCTAAGGAGCAGTAAACATTATTCCTTCTTCTTTTAGCCCCTTTCAAAGCTCCCCTTATCTTCTCTGAATGAAAGGAATTGAGGCACTTTCCATAAAGAGGCACATTGGTGAGTCACTCCTCTGCAGATACACTGCTGCCAGCTTGCTTTCACCTTACATCTTGCACCAGTTCAGTGCTCAGCTTGTCATTCTGAAGTGTTTTGTTGTTTTTTTACCCTGCATCGTTCACTTCTGATGCTTTCTGAGCATAGCATTGAGTAACTCCCTGGAAAGAGATGAAAGTTTATACCTTTCTTTCCTAAGGCAAGTGTCTCATCAAGTAAGGGAGGATGCCAGCTAACAGACTCCACTTTTTTTCTTCCTCTTTGCCCTTGTTTTAAGACTGTTGTCACTTGAACTTTCTTCATTCTTGGCTTCTTCCCCAGTTTTTGCCCCATCTTTCAGGGAAATGACAATCTTCTTATGAAATGTTCAGCTGGGAATTTGATTTATGAGCTCCCAAACACACAAAAATAACTTGAGTTTACCAAGTTAATACTTTTGGTTTTATATCTCAGACTACACCATATCTAGGTAAAAAACACAGATCAAACAGCAGGAGGGTGTAGTCAGTTGTGGTAGAAACAAATATTTGCTAGAAACTCAAAAGCTTCCCTGAAAAAGCAATCTGTATTTGAAAATATCAAGGAGATCCTTTTCTTTCGATGCTCAGCACCTGTTGGGCATGATGTTCAGGGTAACTCCCCTTTCTCTCAGTGCACTGTGTTTTTCTTCGCAAGATCAGATTCTCAGAATTCTGTTAAGAAAAAAGGCGAGTCAAAGGTTGATAGCATTTACCTCCACACTGCTGGTCAGGAGAAGGTTGTGAGAAACCTTACCTTTCTGGAAGCTGGATCCTAAAGGACTCAGTTTAGGAAAGGAAATACGTTGTTAAATACTAATTAAGTCCATATGAGGTATGTATTTCTGTTTCTAAAATAAAACTACCCACTGGTTTTATTAGTACTAGTTATATTGGTTTTATAACTACCCCTTTAGTTATTGGGGAAGAATGTAAGATTAAAAATTTCCTTGATGAACTTGGCCTGGGACAGGACCTCTGTTTCTGAACAATCCTACTCATTGTATTTAGACAGGAAGGGGTGACCTTTCCCCAAAGGTGACACACAATTGAACTTGGACCCTTAGTGCACCACCTTCCCTTTTACTCCTCCCCTAAATGTTTCTAGCATTATGATTTTGGTTTCTGATCTTATTTTGTTGTGCAAGCTGCAAAAACATCAGGTTTTTCTGACTATTCCTCTGCCTCCTGATTACCCTTGTAAGCAATGCTGATTGCAGGAAATTGTTACGGTGCAAGGCGGTTGTCACAACACAGTGATTAAAACCCGCATGTGTCATTCACAGCCTGATTGAGGAAATCATACAGGGGGAAAAAGTGGATGAAAAACCTCCTACATGTGCAGGGGTAGGGACTGTTTCTCATCATTCCTATTAAAGGATTTGGGCATAAAGAATAAAAACTAGTGTGAGTGAGGCATGTGTTTTCAGTCATGTTGCTTCATTTTGAATCCTCAAAGCTTCTCAGCAGGGTCTGGGTCTCTGAACATGATCCTAAAAAGACAACCACAAGTTGTTGCTTTTTATGAAACACATGGTGCCCTGTGTACATGACTGTAAAATAGTGGTTATCAAGGGGAAAAATGTAAGATTGTAAATGGGACAAACAGGTGGGAACAAAATGGGAGAGACCTGCAAAGCCCAGACCAAGTTTCATTTTCCATCTCTCGTTTGGTCTGCAGAATGTTGAGAAAGTAGTTAAATTCAAATGGAATTTTTGAGATTTTAGCTCCCTGTGACTCTGTGTTCCTAATCTATTTAAATTATTTGGTTGTTCTAAGAAAATATTAGTCCCATTTGGGCGTGGCACTTTGGGCTGGATACAGTAAATTTGTGTCTCAGTCTGTTTGTGCTGTCACAACAAAATACCCTAGGCTGGGTGATTTGAAAAGAATAGGAATGTGTTTCTCACAGTTCTGGAAGGCAGGAGTCAGGATCAAGGTTCTTGCAGGTTTGATGTCTAGTGAGGGGAAGTCTCTGCTTGTAAGATGGCACCATGTTGCTGCATCCTCTGGAGGACTAGAACTTTGCATCTTACGGTGACAGAGCAGAAGATAGAGTAAATTTTCTAAAAGATGGAAATACAGCTAAATATTTGAAACCTTACTTTTATCTAAAGCATCTTGACTGATACCTTTTTCTTCCCACCTTCTGTTCTGTGCTTACTGTGCATGGTGAGCGTGGAAAGAGAGTAGGCTTGTGGTCTCAGTCATTGAAGACATTGGTCACCATTGTTACTTAAATGGAGTCAAGTGCTGTCATAGGTGTTTAAGGCATCCAGTAATGATGATTTCTTTTCTCTCTTTTTTTTTTTTTTTTTAAGGTATTGAGGCTTGAACTCAGAGCCTTCACCTTGAACCACTACACCAGCCCTACTTTTGTGAAGGGTTTTTTTTTTTTGAGATAGGGTCTCACAAACTATTTGTCCATGCTGGCTTCAAACCGAGGTTCTCCTGATCTCTGCTTCCTGAGTAGCTAGAATTATAGCGTAAGCCATGGGTGCCTGGCTCCAATAATGATTTCTTACTTCTTTTCTTCCTCAGGTACAGAACCCTGGTATTTCTATTTAATTAATGGATTTCTGAATTTCAACGTAGCCTTTGCTCTGGCTCTGCTGGTCTTGCCGCTGACTTCTCTCATGGAATACCTGCTGCAAAGGTTTCATGGTGAGTGGCTAAGACGTGGTGGGTTTTCTGGGAGGAGACAGCAAGTAACAAGGCATACCAATAAATGAAAAACAGTACTACTCATTTGCCATTTAGATTATTTGAATTTCGGATTCAAATTAAACCAGGAAGCTAGGGAGTTATTTACAGCACCATCCAGGGAAGCAAACCCATTCCTGAACTCTGAAGATGACAAGTCTGCATGAGCTTTTGTCTTGTGAAGAAGTATATGTTAACCTGATAGATTGTTGTGCTAATCCATCCAAACATTCTTGGGGAAATTATACTCAGCTAAAAATTTGAAAACAGAACTGAATTTGAAAATCTCTACATAGAGATTCCTTGAAATTGATACTGAAGTTAGAGGAGCTTCGGATTTCCTAAGAACATGATGCTTCTCTTGGTTTCATTTTGCTTCTCTGTTTGCTTCACTGTGAAAGGTTTGGTGTGTCATTTATTTTGTTTGCTCTGATTCTGTATTTCACAGCTGGTGTTTTCTCAAGTTTGGTGGCTCTGGATATCTAGTGCCTGCAGTTTCTTTTACGGAAGACAGATTTGAACAGAAATTCATAAGGGCTTGGAAAGAGTTAAGTCCAGTCTGATTTGGATGCCATGTGATGGGTTCTTCCCTAGCCCACCTCATGCTGCTTTTCTGCTATTAGTGTTTATAGAGCTGACTGGCTTAAATATTAGACTATGAGAATGAACTCCAGATTCATTTTTGTTGTCAATTTTAGGAGTCTTGTTTTAACACAACCATATTGTCATTAGTCTAACAAAATTAACATAATTCCTTAATGTAATCTAATACCCAGTGATGCACAGATTTCCTCGATTGTCTGAAAATGGCTTTTTACAGTTAGTTTAAAGCAGGATGTGAACAAAGGTCATATACTGAGTTTGGTGTCACATTTCTTAAGTTTTTGTGATGTGCCCCATCTTACTTCTCCTAAAGATTTCTTAAAGAAGCTGGTTCATTCATCTTGCATAGTGTACACATTGTACATTTAGCTCTTTGCTTTCCTTGAGGTAACTTAGCCATTGTGTGTGTTAAGGATTACTTTTTCCTCTTTTTGAAAAGAAACTTTTATGACTGTAAAAGTAATCTATATTTGTGGAAATGCTTGTAGTACAAATAAAGAAAAACCAGGATGTTTTGTTGTTCTCTATAGTATGAATCTAATTTTGATTTAAAAATGTGTAATGTATAAGCATATCCACCTAGTAAGAAAATGAGTGGTTTATGACCTGCCTTTATACTTCTATGTGCATTTTACAATAGAAACACTACTTTTATAAAAGGAATGAAGCACAGATATAAAGTATTAGGAAAGAATTTCTCATGGCCCTATTGTCTGCAACCTTGGTTAGTGATACTATAAGTTTAATGTTGGACATTTCAAGGAAAAAAATTTTTTTTCTTGGTACTGGGGTTTGAACCCAGGGCCTTGCACTTTCTAGGCAAATACTCCACCACTTGAGCCATACCTCCAGCCCATTTTGATTTAGGTTATTTTTCAGAAGGGTCTTACATTTATGCCTGGGGCTAGCCTCAGACCCCAGTCCTCACATTGATGGCTTCTGAAATAGATGAGATTATAGGTGTGAGCTATCATGCCCACCCTCAAAATTTTTTTATCATATTTTAAAAATTGTTAGTCTTTAAGATATGAGAGGAAAAGACTGTTATAGAAAATAAATAGGTTTATTTTCTTAAAAATAATAAATTCCCATTTAAAATATACTACCTGAAAAGATATGAATCCTAAAGTATAACTAAAAGTTCACAATCAAGTCTTAGAGTAGGTTTATATAATAATAATTTTTATCCCTAAAGAATTCTGCAGAAGCTGGGTATGGCTTGAGAGGCTGAGGCAGGAGGATTGTGAGTTCAAGGCCAACCTATGCTACATAGCAAGACTCTGTCTCAAAAAACTGGAAAAAAAAATCTGCATAGATTCAGATAACCTCTCAGCTAAAGTAGGCATTGTTGAAGAGACTCTTGATAGTTGAAGTTTGTACTCTAAACTTGCGCACCGTAGACATGGTAGACACCAGGGGGTGCTGTTGGCCTACCCTTTGTCAGCGTTTAGTATGTATGTTTCTTGTCACTAATAGAACACAGTAGGAGACACCTGCACTGTGGGTTGCAGCTCTGTCACTCAGTGCTTATGTATAGGAACCACAGGAACTTTCTAGCAGGCTCTTGGGTCTTAGTGTTCATTACATTGTTTTAATTCTTTTACATGCTTTAAGTACATTTCAGTTCTAGTTTTGAGATTCAGAGTACGTAGGTATTACAGAAGATGAGGGAAAACTTAATCAGTAAACTCCATTAAGAGTGTTTCCAGGGCTGGTGGAATGGCTCAAGCGGTAAAAGCACCTGCCTAGCAAGCATGAAGCCCTGAGTTTGAACCCCAGTGCTGGCCCCCACCTAAAGAAAGAGTGTTTCCATATTTGCCTTGAAACAAATTCTCACCATGTATGGTAGCACAAATCTTTAATCTCATTACTTGTGAGGCTGAGGCAGGAGGATCATGTGTTACAGGCTAACCTGGGCTTCTTAGAGAGACCCTGTCTCTGTCTCAAAAACCAAATCAAACCAAATAAAACAGATGATTCCCCCTACCCCAACCAAAAATCCTAAAAGTTAAACTGACTTATAGCTTAATGAAAAGGGTTTGAGAATCTGACTTTTTTGTTCTTTTGATCCATGTTTCATTGATGTATACATAAGATGAATAATGTAGTAATCAGACTATAGGAATTAAAACTCAGGGAATGGTTTTTGATTTTAGTTAATCTTAGGAATCTTTAATCTTAGTGGCAGGACTCTTGAGAGAGGGAAGGCCTTTTTTTTCTTCACACATAGTATTTATTTAAAGTTCTCTACCCATGAACCTGACTTTCATTCCTGTTCTTAGCCAAGTCCAGTGTCATTCCTCCCTTTAAAGTTTGCATCTCTCAGAGCTAGGGAATGTACTCCTCTTCATACTTGACATCTTTATTACATTGGAGAAAGTGAATACACAGTGGAGACATTTTTTGGGGTACCCTATGGCATACAGCCAAATTTAGATCAAGAGAACATAGAAATACATTATTTTATTCTAATATGATGAAATCTGGATATTTTTCTGTGTCTTGCAGTTCAGAATTTAGGCCATCCTTATTGGCTCACCTTGGCTCCAATGTATATTTGGTTTATAATTTTCTTCATCCAGCCTCACAAAGAAGAGAGATTTCTCTTTCCTATTTATCCGCTTATATGTCTCTGTGGTGCAGTGGCTCTTTCTGCACTTCAGGTGAGTGTCAGGGAAGTGTGTGTGCCTTGTTTCACTTTACTTGTTAAATAATTACAAAACTTAAGGGCAAATTATGAAATGTGTCTACCTAAGATATTTTATCCATAACATTAAACCTGATACACAGGTCATATTATTAAAGTTTTATTTGTTGATAAACCTGTTTATCAGACTTTATTTGCCGATTATGTGTTTGCAGTGTTAATATGTGTAGTTATCTGTCTCTGTTGTCAACAGGAATCCATTTGCTAGTAAAGATGCATTCTTTTCTTATTCATTAATTTATTAATTCAGTAGATACTTACTACCTACTGAGAGTGTAGTGGTTTTTTGGGTGTCATGGGGGATATAAACATGAAAAAACTTGGATTTTTGTCCTTTAGGAGTTCAAGGAAATACTGCATGCAAATAACTGAAAACTCAAAGCAGAACAATCACTTTACATTATAAAAAATGCTTTTGTTGGGGATTTAGCTCAGTGGAAGAGCGCTTGCCTGGCAAGTGCAAGGTCCTGAGTTCGGTCCCCAGCACTGAAAAAAAAAAGGAAAAAAAATAAACATCTCCAAATAAAAAATGCTTTTATACTACTATATATCATGCTAGCAAATCTAGGCAAGGCAGATTTTAGCTTAATTTTAAAGACAGAAAATTGCATTTTTGAAAAAGTAATTTACTAAGGTATAAAAATAGTAGAATAATACAGTAATAGTAATCTTAGGTAGTATTTGTAATATACTATGTTAAGGATTAATTTAATTCTTTTTATTTTATTTTATTGTGCTGGGTGGGGGTACATTGTGGCATTTATAAAAGTTCTTATAATGTATCAAATATATCATACTTGAATCAATTCTCATTTTGACCTTATTATGATGACACTGTTCTTATGTTCATTTTATAGGGAGAAAAGTGAGACATAGAGGTCAAATAATTTGCCCACGTTGATAGAGCCAGAGTCCACAATAAAGATGCATTTCTAATCTATCATATAGGCTACCACATAACGGTGACCCCTGTGCAGAGATAACAGAATGTTTGCTGTTCAACTACTCGATCAGAGTCATACTTGCTTAAGACTTTGGGATTACATAAAACAGTTAGCAATATGGAATACTTTGTAATCCTGGTTTAAAACCTGTCCAACTCAATTCCCTGGCAGAGTTAATCTTACATTTGCTTGTGTATTTCTGTGTTTATGGCCTCAGCAACCTTGGGGCTTTTTCTTGTCCTCTGCTACCATTTGCAGTTGGTAGAGAAAAAAGTTAAGATGATAGATTTTGTCCTTAATAAATTGCTTAAGAAATAATTTACAAGCCATATAGTTCACCTATTTAAAGTGTATAATTCAGTGCTTTTTAGTATATTCACAGATAATCTGCAGCCATCACTACTATCAACTTTAGAGCATTTTGTCACTTCAGAAACCCTGCTCCCTTCAGCTGTTTCTCCCTTACCCTCTTTCCCTGTCTCCTCAGCCTTAAGGACCTAGTAATCTACTTTCTTTCTGTAGAGAGTTGCCTATTCTGAACATTTCATGTAAGTGGAGTAATAAGATATGTGGTCTTTTGTGACTGGCTTCTTCCACTTAGCGTAATGTTCTCAAGGTTTATCCGTGCTATGGTGATAGTTTTTAAAAAGTAACCTTAATTATTATGAAAGTAAGTGAGCCTCATTTCAGATCATTTATAATGTGGTGAATAAACTTCATCTTCTAACAAAGACAACTTCTCTAACATTTTTGCATAGCACATATTAAGGTTTATTGTGGTTGTAGTAATAAGTATACATAAAATTTTATATCCTTTTGAACTGAATATTATGTCACAATATTGTCTATAGATGTTGCCATGTCTGTACCCATCATTTTACTAGCAGCATTATGTTCTGCTGACTTGGATGAAATATATAATAATTGAATTAATATTTAATATCCTGAGTTGTTTATATATTATATAATGATTACATATTATTCATGTTAGAATTTAGGTTAGTCATTTATTTTACTGTTACATGTACTACTAGAATAAATATTTTTATTTAGGTCTTTGGATTGTTTACTTAGGGCAGATTCCACTAAAATTTTTTTTATTGAGGTTCTGGGGTTTGTACATGCAAGGCAAGTTGCTTTACCACTGATCTACATTCTGAGCCCTTCATAAAAATATTAAAAGAGTTCAAACATGTTTATGGCATTTGTTACATATTGGAAGATTAATTCCAAAAGTAGTTCCTATTTAGAAGGGAATGAAAGGAGGAAGAAATCTGAGAAGGAGGCTGGTGGAGTTGCTTAAGTGGTAGAGTTCCTGCCTAGCAAATGGGAGGCCCTTAGTTCAAACCCCAATACTGCAAGAAAAAAAAAAAAAGAAATCTAAGGAGGTACTTAAAGACAGCAGATGGGCTGGAGGTGTGCCTCAGTGGTAGAGGACATGCTTGGCATGTGCAAGACTCTGGGTTCAATCTCCAGACTCTAAAATAAAGACAGTAGAATTCATGCCTATGTGTATACATTATAGTAATCATCTAGTTTGTAAAATAGTTTAGTAGATAACTAACAAATTCTTTTTACTTATTGTTTGGTCATTAGATGTTTTGTTGATACTAAAAACTTTAATGAAAACTTGTCATCAGGAGAGTAAAGGGTAATACTCATATCAAATAGGTTGAAATGCTTCATATATCAAAGAAAATGACAAAAATTTTTGTTCATATATTTAAAAAATAAGTTATTAGAACTTTTAAGTACTAGCAAAAATATCCAAATAATTTTCCTGTGAAGCTAGTGAGAATTCATTCCTGGCAAGTTGTCTGCCTGGGCTGACCTCCAAAGAGTGCTAGAGGAGTTGGCTTTGATCTTACAATTTGGAGCTGGTACCTCACTAAGTGCTTGCACCTGCTCAGACTCTTCCTCAGACCTCCTTTTCTGCATCTGCACTCTTGGTATCTCTGTGATGTCTCATGATTATGCATATTCTTTTTTCAATACAGTTTTCTTTTCTTCTAGAAATGCTACCACTTTGTGTTTCAGCGATACCGCCTGGAGCACTATACTGTGACATCGAATTGGTTGGCACTAGGAACAGTCTTCCTGTTTGGGCTCTTATCATTCTCTCGCTCTGTGGCACTGTTCAGAGGTAGATGTGCTGAGATTATTTTAACCCACTCTCAAGAGTCACTTAGCCTTGGATTTCCCTTGTTGTAGACTTGTTTAACACATATTTGCTTGGGCTAGGAAGAGGCCTTTCCTGAAGCAGGAGCATGTATACCTAATCATGAGCGGGATATGACTTTGGTACCTGGGACTTGAAATGGAGATTGAGAATTCCTTTTAGTGTGATTAACTACATGTTTTTTTCTCTTTTCTCATTGATCTTCCTCCCTTTTAGTGGCTTCTGATAAAGTAAGGAAGCCTAAACTTATGATGCAAATTTGGAGCTAAAGTCTCATGATAATATTTTTTCTTCTAATCATTATTGGGATCATAATATTAAAATACACTCAAGCTGGGCACTGGTGGCTCACGCCTGTAATCCTAGCTACTTAGGAGGCAGAGGTCAGTAGGATTGCAGTTCGAAGCCAGCCTGGGAAAATAATTCATGAGACCCTATCTAAAGAAAAAACAATCACAAAAAACTGGTCTGGTGGAGTGGCTCAAAGTGTAGGCCTTGAGTTCAAATCCTAGTGCTACAAAAGAAAAGAAAATATGCTCAAAGAGCATGAAGTTAAGAAGATGAAAGGGTATATAAAAGGCAAAGAAAGCAAGTTTGGCAAAACTTTGCAGGGTCTCTGCTGCAGCCATCTTTCCAAGCAGAAAGAAGTTTTATACTGGCAGAGCAAGCTGCTGGAGCGGCTGTGATTCTTCACACTGTAAATTTTTCATGGATTGCAGTGAGATGTTAATATGCATTAGAATTAAATGCCAGAGTCTCATCTGTCTCATCTTTGGCTTTCACTAACTGTTCTCTCTTTCAGGGTATCATGGGCCCCTTGATTTGTATCCAGAATTTTACCGAATTGCTACAGACCCAACCATCCACACGGTTCCAGAAGGCAGACCTGTGAATGTTTGTGTGGGAAAAGAATGGTATCGGTTTCCCAGCAGCTTCCTTCTGCCGGACAAGTAAGTCGTCCTTTAATTCCCAGAGTTTAAAATGAAGAAGTAAAAATAGCAATTCAATGGCAGGGTCTTCTTAATTTTTCTTTGGAATTTTTACAGTCATTAAATCATTTACCACCTCAGGTTACTGTAGAATCTGTACTATGCACTCATCTCCTGTGTTCAGTAGATTGGGTGCTGTGTCTGAGTGTGTGCCATGCACTGCCCGTAACCACAGTGTCTGGGGACTTCTGAAAATGCTTTGGGCTCTAGAATTCTACTAGCAACTCTTCCTGAGGATTCATATGTGCATTTCTATAATTATTTGATGTTAATCCATTTCTAAAAGTGGTCTAGAAACTCTAGCTAAAAGTACATTCAGAAAAGAATTTGTTTCCATCCAACATGCAAAGTTCTACACAAGTATATAAACACTAGGGAAAGCTATGGTTAAGGAGTCTATACCAGCTTCCTCTACACTGTCTATTGTCAGATGTGATAACATATGGCCTGGAGTTCTTCATATTTTTCTTAATTTGGTCCTGTTTAGATAAAAGGAAGGTCAAGATGAGTTGTGTTGCTCCATTTGAAAACTGGCTTCAGCAGCTTTGCTTTGTGTGGTGGTAATGTTTTGTACTTAATGAAGATCCTGTATTGGGTTGGGGATATAACACGGTTGTAGAGCACTTGCCTTGTTGTGCATGGTCTTGGGTTTGATCCCCAGCATTGCAAAAATAAATGGTGAATGAATGAATGAATAAATAAATAAATATCCTGTATCCGTCACTAATGATTAAATTAAGACTTGTTTTCATACTTAAAGTGTTGACTTTGGCCTTTGACTTTTACATTTGAAATGGTGTCATAGCTGAAGATACTTTCGAATATTACTCAGGAACAAAGTACTTTCCTATTAGTGTGTTCTTAATAACATGCATATGTTTTGTCTTTTTCCTCGATATAATTCACTTGATGAGTTTGCTTTAATTAGGTAAGTCCCTTAGAGCACATGGCATTTGGCAATAAATGTCAACACTTCTCTGCTTGTTTACGGTATGATCATTTAGTTGGAAATTTCACTGCTCAGACTTGGGTGATATGGACTGAGAGACCTCTAGTTATAAATTTCTCAATGATTTTCTTCTGAATTGTGACCTCTGCCTCTGTGCTCCCTGGTTGAGGTTTTGGCAGAAATATTTTTTCCAAGTAAAATGTTTTTCATATGACTTTTCTTTTTGTTTGTTTCAAGTACATTTAGCAATATTATCCCCTTGTGTTTTTCTTATTTTCTTTATTTATGCTTCTGACAGTTGGCAGCTTCAGTTTATTCCGTCAGAGTTCAGAGGTCAGCTACCAAAACCTTTTGCAGAGGGACCACTGGCTACCCGGATTGTTCCTACTGACATGAATGACCAGAACCTAGAAGAGCCATCCAGATATGTAAGGGCTACATTCTCTTCATACTTTTTAGAAAAGAATTCTACCCATAAAATCTCTTGGATATATTTAAGAACATTGATAAAATCAGAAGTTCTCAGAAAGTGATTTCTGTAGAGTAGGGGATACAATAACTTTTGTTGAGAAATTGTGAGTAGTATCACTTTTGTTTTCAAATTACTTCTTTCATTATTTTCTATTAAATCATAATTCAAAATAACTTCTAAGCTTTTTGGTGGGCTGGACATTTTCTTATGGTAGAATCTGAACTATCATTCTGAAACACGTATCATTCCTTGGCCTGCTGAAATAGTTGCTTTGGGAGGTTGCTGGCAGGGTGGCTTATCCTGCTTAGCAAATGTGAGGCCCTGAGTTCAAACCCCAACACTGCCAAAAAAAAAAAAAAAAGTGCTTGCCAGGGAACTTCCAAGTTGTCAGGTCACTGCCCTTGACCTAGCTATTACTATATTCTTGTTTTAGTACATAAATAGTCAGGAAAACTATTGCCATAGTGAGTATCATGGAACATTCTCTGTTAATGCCCTGATCTTCTGCCTGCTTGTCTTTCCACACTCTGAGATCATTTGAATTTTATTTTGGCTCCTTTGAAAGATGATGCTTTTGACATTAGTACCTATAATAGCTTCGATGGTAAAACAGGTGAGAGCAGTAAAGATAATCCTCCTGGTTCACAGAGAAAGTAAAAGATCATTTTATAAAATTATTGGCAAGCACATTTTTTGCCGGCTGGTCTGTTAAACATTTAGCAGTTTAAATGTCAAATATGTTCAATTTAGGTTTTCTTATATCATATGCTTAAAATGTAAACTAGTGAGACTTGCAATTCTCTCCTGAAGCAAAGCTGCAGCCACATGTGGCCCTTTCGCCTCTCAGATTGAGGCTGGCTAGACTGCCATGGAGACCTGGAGGGCTTATGAATGGTCTTCTTGTATGAGCTTTAGATATAGGCTATGCAAATCTACATCCTTGCCCTGGCTCCCTGAGAAGTTAAGACATGCATTTCTCCAGTCTTTGAATGGAAGGCTCTGATTTGTAGCACAATGAGAATACCCTTCAGCAGGATGAACTGTTATTACTCATTTTTATTTTAGCTGAAGTCACTTCAGGCTTTGATGAATAGAGGATCATCATGGGAACACTGGACATTTAAAAGGTGTGAGAATATACCATGAAAAGGGGACAATTTGAATTCAGAATGATGTTATCAGAAGTCTTCCCATGATTACCAGTTCACCTTGCTTTAGGAAGAGATAACATGGGGAGTATAAAAAGACTGGATTTTGGAGTCAAGTAGCTGGGTTCAAATCCTAGCTCCATTGCTCATCTTGATAACCCTGGGCAAATGAAACTTTTCTGTTTAACTAGTTTCAGCTGCTCTCTATACAATGGGGATAATGACACCTCCTTTGGAATTATGAGATTTGAAATTATATCTGTATCATATTTAGCATAATGTCTGGTTTGTAGGTTTTCTCATGAATCTGATAAGGAAGCCCTTGAGGATATTTATTTTATTTTTTATTAGCATATAATAGTTGGACAGGGGAATACATTGTGATAGTTATATGTGTGCTTACAGTGTATCTTAGTTAGATTCACCCGCTCCATAGTTCTTCATTTTCTCCCTCCCCACTTCTTAGAACAATTTCAACAGGTTTCATTCTTCTGTTTTCAAATATGAATACAAAATACATCCACCACATTCGCCCTCATTCTCCCTTTCCTTATGCCCACCCTCTTCCACTGGTACCAACCTTGGAAAAGACTTGTTTTACCCTCCTGTCCTTAAGAATGGGATTTATAATCTGTCCAAGTCTCTCTCCTTTATTATTATTGTTCCCCAACATGGTTTTTATTCCAGTGCATTCAGGCTCATTGACTTTTGCATTCCAGTGCCTCTGCTTATGTTGTTACCCATGCCTGGACTACCCTTGTCTCTCATGTCATACTATTAGAGTTCTCTTCCAGTCAACTACATAAGTCAATAGTTAGCACTTGTTCCTGTAAATGCCTTAAATATTTGTCTGTATAGTTCATTTAGCCATTTTATTTTGTTTTATATTATTGAAATACTTCTTTCATATATGTCATCTCTTTTCCCATCAGATGTGTGAATGTTATGAAGGGATGATGTTTTTTTCTTGTGTATACATACATACCTGTGATAAAATTTAATTTATAATTTAAGCACAGTAAGAGATTAATAATAAAATAGAACAATTATAATAGTCTACTATAATAAAAATTATGTAAGGGTCAGTGCGTAGTGGTGCACACCTGTGGGCCCATCTGCTTGTGAGGTGGAGGTAGGAGGATTGTGGTTGGAGGCTAGCCTAGGCAAAGTTAACATGAGACCCTATCTGAAAAACAAAAACAAAAAAATTAAAAAGCAAAAGGAACAGGGGCATGGATCAAGTGGCAGACCACTTGCCTAGCAAACTTGAGGCCCTGAGTCAGTACGAAGTGCTAAAAAGCAAAAAAGAAGTGAACATGGTCTTTTTCTCTCAATGTACCTTATTGTACTATAGATTTTAGTAACCTCAGCATATGAGTTTTTTCTTTCCTTAATAAGTTGTGAATTTTCACTTAAAGGAAGTATTTTATAGCTTCCCCTTGGCATGTCCAAATTGCCAGCATCACTTTTGTTCTTTAGAGCCCTTGTTAAGTAAGTAAAAGTTACTGGCACGCAGAACTGCTGTATCATGAGAATGGATCTGATAACCAAGATGGCTACTAAGCGATTAATGGGCAGATAGCATACATATAGCATGGATACTCTGGGCAAAGATGATTCAGGTCTTGAGTGGGACAGTGCAAAATTTAATCATGCTAAGTTTCATCTTGTTGCTTAGAACAGTGTGCAATTTAAAACCTGTGCATTATTTCTAGAGTTTTAATTTAATATTTTCAGACCATGGTTGACCAAAGTAATTGAAACTTTGGGAAATGAAATCTTAGATAAGGGTAATCTAGTGAACTTGCCTTCTCAGTGTGTAATGAATCTTTGTCATTGGGATAATGACATTGAAAGTGGGCTTGAAAGTGTGCAGTGGCCTTTTTTGCACATCTTAGGCTTTAGCCACTGGTTGTCTCTGTTCAGATCATATTTCCATGTATTCTTGGCTACCAGACATTGCTAAAAATGGTTAAGTGACTCTACACTAGTTTCACCCAGAAGGGAGAGATTTTTCCTAATGCCAGTAGGAGTCACTGAAATGCTGGTTGATAAAAGCAGACAAGCAAGTCTACATATCTGCTGTGTGTATGGTGTTGGTCCATGTGGTCATCCACATTCCTGTGGGTGAGAATTTTCCTGCACAGTTCTCTTTGTATTCTAGATTCAGTGGATTTTCCTGCATGGTGGGGAAAGTGTCCTTCAAATCTAGTCCACTTACTTGATCCTTTGGTAAGTGGCGGAAATATTTCATGGCTTACTGTTAAATCTGCATGAATTATGATCAGGGATTCATCCCTTTCAGTTAGCTGTTTAAAAAGATATTTGTTTTCCTCTGATAATAAGAATAATGTGCATTCATTGTATAAAATATTAAAAGCTATGGACAAGAAAAAGATCTATCATCTTAATTATCAGAATATCATCGGTTACCATTTTGGTAGTATTTTTTCCTTTCACTTTTTTCTTGTATAGATATATGTTCATTTGTGTTGAAACAAAATCTTAGTTATTTAAAATTTTTAAGTGTTTAGTTCTTTAAGAAATTATTCTATAGTTATGATTATAATGGTCATATATCTTTGCCTAACCTATAGAAGCTCATGCACTCATATGTACCAGCCCTGATTGTAAGTCCATGTTCATCCAAGAAGGGAAAATCCTTCTGTTCTCCATCATTTCTGAGCATACTAACTAGCAGCATTTAAAAAAAAAAATTGGAGGTGAGGCTTGAGACAGGGTCACTTGCTATGTGTAGCCCAGGCCTGCCTAGAACTTGTGATCCTACTGCTTCTGCTACCCAAGTGCAGGCATTATAGGCATGTACCACCACACACAGCTTGCAGCATTATTTTTGTCTGCCCTTTTGCTCTCAGTGACATCTTAGCTAGCCCTGGTGCAGCTGAGTGGTTTATCTAATCTCTGTTTCTGTCCTATGTGAAAGCTAGGAGAGATGTATAGCCTCTCTCATTATCCTCCTTTACCTCTGACTTTATCAAGAATTAGGAATGTTTGTAAATGCTCTGTGGATTTCTGTTGCACTGTTTTAACTGGATTTAGAAATAGTTACTTTTTTCTTTGCTGCCTGTTCTTTCATGGTAGGTCCTGAGTAGCTGTCATTAATAATGGGAATTTGTAATTGTTTCATACTAAGATTTCTGGCAGATCTGAGTTCTGAATTTAGAAGATGCATTCACTATTGCCATTCTTGAAAAATTAAGAATTTTGTTTAGTATTTTAAAGTGAATGATATTTTGCTGATGCCAAGTCAGGTGTCTGATTTTGGAATTATCTAGTAAATGGATAGACCTTGGAGACAAAACAACTGTTTAGAAGGAAGGTTGCAGAGAAGGACTTACCTCTGACTTTGACTTGATGTTTAAGCAGTCCATTTGGCAGCTTACCCATATGTTATTTTTGAAGGAAATAGAGTCACCCTTAATTTTTTTTCCTCCAAACAGCAACATAGTCCTGTGATAACATGTTATAAAATAGTTGAAGTCATTGTGCAGTATGGGAAAAATTGAGTTAGGGACACATTAAAAAAAAAGAGAGATAGGAACCCAATAAAAGCATAGAACAGTTTTACATGTGTTAAATGGATAACACAGATCTTATAATAAATACGGCAGCTTCTCTTGCAAAGATTTGAGGTTTGCTCTTAGGTAGTGTCAGAAGGGTTGCATCTTGTGAAGTAGTGGATTATCTGAAATCTGACAGGGTTGTAATATCAAAGGCAGATGAATAAATGTTGCTTATAACATGGTGAATTGAAGAAGCTGTAGATGTTTCAGTGTGTGCTTTATGC